CATGGCACTTTTTTACTGTAGGTTTATTTAGCTAGAGAAAGTTACACTGATGTCTGCGGCAGTAACAGATTTGGCCTTCCACCATTAACAGAGCCATGACAAACAGGAAAACTTACAAAAACAGGCCTGGCTTCATAGCTTGTGCCAAACTTGAAACTCTTTGCAAGTCCATAGATATAACATTCATTAAATCAGTTTGTAGATTTATACCCAGTTCTTTGATGTTTTCACACACTGTGTTCTGTGAGATTCCTAGAAATGCACTGGATGCTATAGTACAGAGGAACAATCACTGTTCCACATTCAACACTTTTATAGTCAAAAATTACAAAAAGTGGGAAAAGAATCAGAAGCTGCGATGTGATGTGACAGTGATGAAGCATTTTCCCAGAGCCACATAGCATGTCAGTGGCAAGGCTGGAAACAGGAGTCCAGTTCTATCTCTTCAGAGCGATAGCCCACTCACTTTAAATATTTTTTAAATTACTCTATTTGACTTGGAAGAAGCAGAAACATGACAGACCACAAGAAAAAAAAGTGTACAGACACAGTTGTTGTGACTTGGATATGGGAAAGAAATTCAGGGAAATTACCAGATATGTCACAAGAAAGTATGTGAAAGCATAACATTTGTCATGGAGAGATAACTGCACAACAACCTAGTCCATGATTTCTCCCAGATTCTGTCTATCTATCTGCACTTTCTGCTTTTCTATCATTGCTTACACAAGGACACTACAGGTTTTGTAACTGGCATCCTCTCGACCTGACTGATCTTTAAAGGCCAAATCTGAAGTACTACCTGCCTGTATATTAGTGTCTGGTAGACTTTATGTAGATTACTTTCCGAGAAAGAGTCCTAGAATAGAGCCAACTATGCCAACAGAAAACTTAGCAATGCATACTTTGTCTGAGGGAATCATGTTGGCTATATCAAGGAAGTGAGTACCTCATAGGAAGTTGTGACCATGTTAAGAGTATGCCTGTACTACAGAATAAAGTGTAGAGCAGAGCTACCTGAGTTAAATGTAAATTAATATATTCAGGTAACAGAAACTGTCACACCAGGAAGCTCTGAGTTAATTTCTCTCAAGAGGCAAAATAGACAAGTACTCAGAAATTTGAGAATCCAGGCTTTTGCTCAGACTCATTTCTTAAAGTTGTTATCTGCCTTTCTTCTTGAAAGGTGTTTAACACTCACAGATCTTCCTACTTCTGTGGCACAGTTTTTGGTCATGAACAGTTTGCAATATCAATGTCCTTTAGCAGCTGGATGGCTGCCTTTTCCCCAGGCATGATACTACCTGGTAACATGACACTACCTGGTGCTTTTGGCCAAAATAGTTTAAATCAAAGACTGAAAAGATGATACAACAAGGAGACCCAAAGCTTTCTTTCCTTGCAGTGAGTCACAAGAGGCCAATCACAGTGAGATGTTGTACATCGATTATAATAATGCTGTTTTCCAATTGATCATATTGAAATGATTAACCATTTTGCTACTAAACACTTGCAAAGCCAACAAAACATTAAGAAGCCTGTGGACAGAAAAAAAAAAAAAAACTTACAATGCAGCTTGGCATTTTATCACTCACTGGGGACTTAAGTTTCTGAATTATTTAATGGCTTGGTAATTATGTTCAGGCATGTATGTAGGAAGGTACGGCCAGTGCTGGTTGCAGGCACCACTTATGTGGGGGAATGAATGCAGAGATGCATAGTTGTGTGGGCAGCCTGAGGCTGCTTGCCCCAGAGCTCACATGTCGCTGGTGTCACTGGGAAAGGAGACAGAGCTACTGTCCCCTTCACTTCCTTGGTAAATCTGCTCCTGTGTTTTGTTTTGGCTGAAGCAACCTGTCAGGTTGGAATCTGACAAGGTCAGACAATTAAAAGATATGTTAATTTTACAAAGTAAACAGTTATCAAAGTCATTTGCTTATGAAAGCAAAGTCAGTCAGTCAAGAAGGAAAAAGCTAGTGCTTTGTTTTGATCACTTCTTCCTTTTTTTATGCAGATGTAGTCTTTCTCAGTCAGGCGTCACTCTGGCTTGAAGGCTGCCTGCACCCCATCAGCAAGCTACCATCTTGATATATTTTGTATGAAGGGATTTTGAAAACAGTTATGAAAGCAAGAAGTTCACACAGGGAATCGCTTCCTTAAGTGTCCTCTCCCAGACCTACTGCCAAATTGAAGGACATTTGCATTTTAAGCTTTATCACCCATGTTCAGTAACTCATCAAAAGTCAAGAAGCTAAAAATCTGAAGTAATTGTCTAAGCCATCATGTCAAGATTTTTCACCATGCTGTATTTGCCTTTGAAGCAGAGGTTCCAATATTTCTCTTAGGATACACACACTATTTTATCTAGTTCTCAGGAACCTTCTTTGGATGCTTAGCTGCATTAGCATACTGTTATTTTTATCCTCCCAGCTATTAGTCATTCTCTTACAGACAAAGCTAAAAACCTGAACCACCTCTGTATTCTTCAAATATTTGTAAATCCAACCATATGGTTCTTTGGCAGCAGAAGAATGTACTTTTGATTTTAGTTTGGGAAAGAAAGATTATTTTACTTCCCAGATTTGACACTTCCACATATCAAACCGCATAACATTTTATTGATTTTTTTCTATAAAATAAAATTATACAAATTATTACATACATAAAACCATCTTCTCTTAATGCTTCTGCTGTATTTCTGGGCATTTGGATCAAAAAAAGCAATTCATTTTATAAAACTTGTTCAGTTTAGAAATAAATTTTTCAGGTGATTTTTGTGTGTTTTTCATATGGACTCTCAAGGAGGTCTTCTCATCTGCCTCTCTCAAACTTACCAGAAGTGTTAACACTTTATTTGTGGAATCACATTTGGTTTCTGCAATTCAAAACCTAAGATACAGGAAAGGGGAAAACTGTAAGTGTAGACAGGGAATAGGTGGTCTGCTCTTAAGAAGCCCTATTATTAAGAATCCCTGAACACAGGACTTTTAGAAGTCCTAAAAGAAATGGGGGATGTTTTCCCAGAAGCACCATAAAACCAGAGATTCTTACCACATCTTTTCATTGCCTCAGAGGACTACATGCTTGCTGATGAAAGTACTGGAAAGGTATGAGACAACACAGAAGTTATTGGTATGGACCTGAGGATCGGAACAACGTCAGATTATTCTTGGTGGCTTTTTTATTACTTTCTCACTTAGGTTGTGGATGATAATCAGTTGGCTTGTTGTTTTTTTCCCCCACAAATCTATTTATAGTCTTGTGTCAAAACTTAACAGATAAACCAGTGGTACAACCAGTAGCAGGGACTACAGAGAGGCACTGTGCAAAGGTGGGAGTGAAATGGCAGGGTAGAGAAGAAAATCTGGGAAATTGAGATAGTGCCACTTCTTTTTAAATACACTTTGAAATGCACAGATAGTCTGTAAAAGCTATCTGTTCTTGTTATTTCTTTGTTATTATTGTGGCTTGAAAAACAAATTGGTATAAATCTGCTTCATATATAATTCTCAATTATAATAACCATTAGAACTTGCATGTTGTGTTTTGTCCTTAGATCAAAAGGTTGGGTGAACTTCCATACAGCTGGGAAGAGAGGTCCAGAAAATCAAGTTGCCCAAGACATTATAATGAGCTAATGGCAGGACTTTGGCTGACATGAATATTCCCTCTTTCATATTCCAAATGGTAACTGGAGTCAAAATTCAAATTGTCTCTTATGGTTGAGGCAGAATGGAGATCAAGCTCATCTTTTTGGGGAACTGGTGGCAATTTAAATGACTTAAATAGTTTGTTGTTGTTGCTAATACTGTAAAATATGCTCATATCACAGGTATACAACCATACCGAAGTGCTACATTTTACACTCACTTATCTGCTTCTACTAAAGAACAGTGACTTGTGTAAAACATGAGATCTCTGTATTTATCAGAAACAAGAGGCGCAAATGCTAGCACTGCTGAATCATATGTAGAGTAAACCCATGGTGCAGCCCCAGAGTATAATTTCATGCTGGCTGCTCATTTTGAGGAGCACACTGATTCATTAGCCCAGTTGGAAGAAAATGGGAAGAAAACCCCTTAATTTCTGAACTCTGAGAATTTATGCTTATTTTGGAAAACACCTTACTCTCCTCCAGAAAGAGCTGGGATTGAAATACCACCATATGATAGAGGCTTCTGGGAAGTGTCTTCGCAGAGCCTGAGACTAGGAAAATACTGGTCAAAGGTGCCATGTCCTAACAGGTAATGAGGACAGCTTTCACAATACAAGTCAAAAATATGTTTTTTCCTTATCCTAACATACATCCCTAGATCACAGCTTATCTGAGAGATTTTTCAGAGACATCCATGGACTCTTTCCCATTGGGTAAGCCAAAGAGTCTTTGCTGAATACATCCTGGGCAAAAATGCCACCTAGGCGCCTTTTATGGCACCTTCACCATATCCATATGTGCTTGTGTGATAACAGCAAGTGCACAAACAAGTACGTGAGGACAGAGTAGAGAAATGTTCTTCCTCAACATTCATTCCCTGTCACTACTGGATTCCTCTCTAGAGCAAAGGGTATGGGGACAGAAAAGGAAAAAATAAGAACAAGAGTGAGAGGGAACAGAACAGGAAAATGACAGAATTGGAGAGAAGAAATGCAGCCTGAAAGTTTAGAGATGGAAGTTTAAAAAAAATCACTACAATATGTGGGCCGTTTCTTTTCTACGTCATTATGTTGGAATGAGAGCAATACAGTCATTGCTGTCATTCCTTTTGTATTTCTTCCTGCATTCCTTTTCTTTGTTCAACTGTCTATTTCTTCATTAATTCTTGCCAGACTCTTCAGCATTTCAGCCAAGTCTTCTAACTATCTTTCTTGCCCAGCATATGAATAGGCCTTTCTTGAGCATGCAAACTATTGTGCAGACTATGGTTTTCTTTTCGCGGAGATAACTAGGTAACTTCAGAATAATTAGCTAAAATTTCCTCCTCTCCCCTCTTTTTTTAAAGACAATTCCTCATCTCTCCAGGAAGATGAAGAGATAGATATGGAGGCTGTCAACTGGCAGCTGAGCAACACCTCCATGAATGGGCATTCACCTACCCCAACCACAGTTCGCTTTCCCAGCTGGGTGACTTTTGATGACAATGAAGTCAGTTTTTCACCGCAGAACCTTTCTCCCTTGAAAGCAGACACCCCACCTGCAGAAACACAGACTCCAGATGTTAACTTTAACCTCACTACATCCTTTAAGAAAAGAGAACGTCCTAAAAGCACATTGGGGGACCTCTCCAAAATTCAAAAACTAGATCTCTCCTCCTTAACTAAGTTGCCTTCTGTTGAAACACCACCATGGAGTGCTACTAATCCCTTCCTGGATGAATCTCTGCGAGATGTCCAACCCTCACCCATCAATCCATTCAGCTCATTCTTTGAGGAGCGAGACAGGCGTTCCAAAAGCTCTTCTGACTCCAGTGCTCCAGGCAAAAGCCAAAGAGACTCTCTCATTATTCTCCATCAAGAGCCTGATACCATCAGTTTCCATGAGGCAAACAGAAGTGGAACTCACACAGATGCTGTAGAGCAGCTCAAGCAACTCCAGATTGGAGACCCAGATTGTGTGAGCAGCCCTACCTTGCCTGATGATGACCCCATGATGCCATATGATCTCAATGCAGCCTTTTTTAACCTGGCACCAGCTCAGCCAAAGGACGGATGGCCAATGATGCTCAGGATCCCAGAGAAGAAGAATATTATGTCATCCAGGCACTGGGGACCAATATATGTCAAGCTAACTGACAGTGGATGTATACAACTTTTTTATGAGAAAGGACTGGAGAAACCTTTCCGGGAATTCAAACTTGAAATCAATCACGAGATTTCAGAGCGCAAACTCCAGAACTATGATGAGAATGGAAGGATACACAGTGTGCGGTTGGACCGCACAACCTACAAGGAGAAAAAGAAGTATCAGCCTAAGCCAGCCATTGCTCACACAGCGGAGAGAGAGCAAATTATCAAGCTTGGGACTACGGATTATGAAGACTTCCTTAGCTTCATCAGTGCTGTGCAAGACACACTGATGAACTTGCCAGCCTCATCAACAGATCTGAGCACAGTGGGACTAAACTATCAAGAAGAAGAAATCACGGTTGATGTCAGGGATGAGTTTCATGGCATCTTGGCCAAAGGAGACAGTGTAATTCTCCAGCACAGTGTGCTGACCCATATCTATGTTCTCAGCTTCCTTTCTGGCCTGGCAGAATGCAGACTAGGCCTTAATGATATCCTGATCAAAGGGAATGAAATAGTTGCAAGGCAGGATATTATGCCCACTACTACCACTAAGTGGATTAAATTATACAGCTGTCAGTTCCATTCATGTGTGGATGAGGATATGTTTAATAACTCCCGTATTATCCTGTTCAACCCCTTGGATGCCTGCCGGTTTGAGCTGATGAGATTCAGAACTGTCTTTGCTGAAAAAACTTTGCCTTTTACTCTGAGGACAGCTGCCAGCATCAATGGTGCTGAGGTGGAGGTGCAGAGCTGGCTGATGATGTCCACTGGGTTCTCTTCTAACCGTGACCCTTTAACTCAGGTCCCCTGTGAAAACGTGATGATCCGCTACCCAGTGCCAAATGAGTGGGTGAAGAACTTCCGCAGGGAGAGCGTGCTGGGGGAGAAATCTTTGAAAGCCAAGGTGAACAAGGGGGCCACTTTTGGATCAGCCAGTCTGTCTGGTTCTGAGCCAGTAATGAGAGTAACTTTGGGAACTGCCAAATATGAGCATGCCTTTAATTCCATCGTATGGAGGATAAACCGACTGCCTGACAAAAACTCAGGTGAGTGGTGCATACCATCTCTGCAGAAGTGAACTAAAAGGAGTTATGTATTTTGGAAGATAGGGAATACTCTTTTTACATGGTGAGGGATAAGTCATCCTCTGTAGTATACCAAAGGACATCAGTTAGTTGCATGAAGCATTTATCTGGCCCTTCACTGCAGTAGATTTACGTATCCTACAAACATTGCTAATGATAAAAACAGGTTTAGGTTTTCCGGATGCAAAAAATATGCCTTCTGTCTCTGCTTTTATGTGTACATTATGGGACTTAGGCATCAAACATCTCTGTGTGCTTAGCATTATTATTGGAAACAGGGCTTTTTCAGGTAACTTGCAAAGGCAAGATACTATGCTATGGGGCTGAATGACAGGACCGGATAAATTGCTGTAGTTTCAGCACATGCGATTTCTTTTCCATGCAATGTCAAGCATAGTGGGCCATTTCAACACATACACCACAACTAATGCCTATAAAATATCTGGAATAGGGACTGTAAGAGGACAGAAGATACTGTGCAACCATTAAAAAAAAAAAAAAACAAAAAAACAGATTTCCAAACACCAGTTTGTGGCAATGTTTCTGTAATCAGTGCAGACGGGTAAATACAGCTTAAACCTGAAGAGAGAATACCAACATAAAACCCACAAGTCTTTGTATTTCTAGTAACATGTTAATAATTAAACATTCAAATAGTATGGGCAAGCTACTGTTCCCTTTGGCCACTGCTGCCAGTCATTCCACTTCCTGCTTTTCATGCGTGGTGTGCAATAAAGCTAGACAATTGGGTTTATTTTTATTCCTAGTGAATTATTCTTGACTTCTCTGATCTAGACGAGATGGACTTTTTAGTATTTATGCTGTAGTAATGCAGCTGGGTGACTGGGAGGTTTCTGTATTCAGTATTCCCTGAAGGAAAGTTCAGTGTTGTACTAGATTTGGCACTTTCTAAGGACATATGTTTTTCCTGAGTTTGAGCTATAGTGTCAGCAAAACAGTGATCCAAGTCTTCTAATCTTTTGGATCACATTTCAGCCCAAGGATGCCAATTTACACCATGGCTTACAAATTTGGAGGGATATCGCTGACAAAAGTGAAGGCTCCATGTTTTCTGTGGTGTGGGGCATGACAAGAGAGAGCTCAGAAACTCAAGAGAAATATCACAATGAAAAATTAACCTCAGGCTGTTTATGAGCAGTAACATGCTTGTGAGGAAAATCTCACTATGCCATCTGCATGAGCTCTGGGAATGAGATGCTGTGAAATTGGGCCTTCTGTGGTGTCCTCTCTCCAAAGTTCTCAGTATACTGTATAGACATTACAGCTGAGGAAACAAAAGCCCCCAGACTTTTAACATAATCACAGAACGTGCCGGTAGCAAACCAGGAGAAGAGGCAGAACTCTACTGTCTCATGCAAAGTGATGTTCCCTTACCCATTGCTGCTTGGAGGGAGGTGCTGATGTGTGTTTCTTGTTTCCTTGATCTCAGCTCTCCCAGTGTAAGGCTTTATTATACATATCCTGTGTCAGGGGGAAATGCATCATAGACTTGGCACTGCTGTTGGAGCCCTGCCATAGAGCATCTATCCATCAGTGTCACCATGCAGAACATAAGGCAGTTAGTATTTGTTTACATCCTGAGAGGAAGAGAGTGTCCTTACCCCTCCAGTCAGGTCAGATGTAATTTCAGGGAAAGGAAGAGCCTTGCAAGCACTGTCTTGGCCAGGACACATGAGGTATGTGAGAGGGAGGGAATCCCAAAGTGATGACAGGGCAGGCCAAGTGTAGCTTAAATCTGACCTTGCCTCTCAGGGACTATTTACATTTCTTCATCCCGTGGTTTTCCTTACTCAAAGTATATGGCAAACAAAAAGGGATATAAATGGTACTCAAAAGCATTGATTATCACTCCATTTTGTTTTTGCCTAATGGACCACATACAATTCTGACCATGGGATACTGACATGTGGTCTATTCCCATCCTTGTACATGCTTGGCTGTATCCAGCCCTACCCACAAGTTGTATAATAACCCACCTCCACCTATTTGCAGAAGTCCCTATAAATGATATAGTTCTCAAGCACTAAGTATAAAAATATTCCCTTGACTCACTTCATGCTCTCTTACTGTGGCACCTGCAACTCATCCCTAAGAGCACTTTGGGTCCTCTGTAAACGTCCGGTCTGCTGATGAACTGCTCTTGTGCCGGTGACTCCAGAGCAGTAGAGGCACTGGACTGCATCTGGGGGGAAATGCTGCAGGTGGCCACAGTCTCCAGCTCCACCTTGCCTCCAGTGGCCACAGAACCTGTCCCCATAACCTGAGGCATATACACTGTATGAATCCCTCCAGCACACGTGCCTATCTGCCAGACCCGTGTGCCTATCAGAGGAGCACGTAATAGGCATGTACTACGAGACCCTTCATTCATCCACGTTGTGTGCTCTGACACATCACTTCCTTGCAAACGTGATCCCAGGAACTCCAGAGGTCTCCAGGTAGCCACTTGGACCCCTTGTGCGTCACTCCGTTCCCTGCGCGCAGACGGGTGCAGGCTTTGTGTAGCTGTGAGGTGTGTGACACCATCAGCCCTGCGCCGGGGCCTGCCCTGATGGCCAGTGCCACAGGGGAGGAGACCTGGTCTCTCCCACAGCTCACTGCTTGCATTCAGGCTGTAGTATCCTAGCACCCAAATTGTGAAGTATTATTTCAGCAGCTTCACTGTCTTATCCAAATGTTTTCTCTTTGTGCTTTCTAATGGGATGGGGCCTTTTGTACTCTTATGATCCGAGCTTGTTATCAGCACTGTCTGTATTATTTTATATCCAAAACATCTGCTTATGACTAGACATTGAAAAGCATATGACAAATGAAGGGCTGTGTACTCTAGGATTTGACCTAAGAAAAAACTATGGACTGGATTCTACTGAGCACATTGCTGAAATCCTTTCCAAAGCAGCCTGTTAAACTTTATTGCCCTTCTCATATTCACAATTAATATGATCAAAGCAGTTGATAAAGAAAGCCTATTTACAGGCTCTGCAGAGCTTCAGTTGCAGGTGGCTGGGCTCTACATGTTTGGTTTTTTTCAGTCCACAAGCAGAATACTAGGAGAGCATCCACCCAGTCGTCAATCACTGGAAAACACTCTTCTGTCAAAGCTGGGATGTAGTCTCTATGCGGAGCCTTGGATCTGGGTATTTGAACTTTGTTCTAGTTTGGCTGTGGATCCCAGGCATGCTGCTATACTTTCTGAAGTAAATTATATCCTTTAATCCAAACATGTTGGGACATCAGAGTCGTTTAGAAGAGCTACCCTCCAATCACGGTAACCCATCCATATATATGAATTATCAGATCCTTGAATGTCAGAATGAAATGTTAATAGCTCAAGGAAGCAAGAGATGCAAAACAAAAGCAGTCTGTGGGTGAGCAACTGACATCATCTACCTGGACTTGTGTAAAGCATTTGATACTGTCCTATACAACATCCTTGTCTCTGAATTGGAGAAAAGAAACATGAATTTGATGGATGGACCACTCTGTGGACAAGGAATTGGCTGTATGGTCGCACTCAAGGAGTTGCAGTCAATGGCTCAATATCCAAGAGGAGAGCAGTGACAAGCAGCATTCCTCAGGGATTGGTGTTGGGACCAGCGCTGTTTAACATCTTTGCTGGTGACATGGACAGTGGGATTAAGTGCACCCTCAGCAAGTTTGCTGATGACACCGAGCTGTGTGATACAGTTGACATGCTGGAGGGAAGGGATGCCATCCAGAGGAACCTTGGCAGACTTGAGAGGTGGGCCTGTGCAAACCTCATGAAGTTCAACAAGGCCAAGTGCAAGGTCCTGCACATGGGTTGAGGCAATCCCAAGCACAAATACAGGCTGGGTGAGGAGTGGATTGAGAGTAGCCCTGAGGAGAAAGACTTGGGGGTATTGGTGGATGGAAAATGAAATATGAGGCAACCGTATCTGGGGCTGCATCAAGACAAGTGTGGTCAGCAGATCGAGGGAGGTGATTCTCCCCATCTACTCTGCTCTCATGAGACCCCACCTGCAGTGCTGTGTCCAGCTCCGGGACCCCCAACATAAGAAGGACATGGACCTGCTCGAGCAGGTCCAGAGGAGGCCGTGAAGATGATCAGGGGGCGGGAGCACCTCCCGTATGAGGACAGGCTGAGAGAGTTGGGGTTGTTCAGCCTAGAGAAGAAGAGGCTCCAGGGAGACCTTTTAGAGGCCTTCCACTGAAGCTATAGCAAAAATACGAAGCACATCAGTGTTCATTAGTGTCCCAAGCATGAGGTACACAAGGCACAACTTCTGTAGACCACCTGTTTGCTCAGCGGGCTCATTCAGAGCTCTTTCTCTTAAGGGACAAGTACACTTTTTAGTAAAATCAGGAGGAAATTGTAGAATTGTAGAATGGTTTGGGTTGGGACCTTAAAGATCATCTGGTTTCAACCCCCTGCCATGGGCAGGGACACCTTCCACTAGACCAGGTTGCTCAAAGCCTCATCCAGCCTGGCCTTGAACACTTATTGGAGGGGCATCCACAACCTCTCTGGGCAGTGTGTTCCAGTGTCTCACCACCCTCACAGTAAAGAATTTCTTATATCTAACCTAAATCTACCCTCTTTCAGTTTAAAACCATTACCCCTTGTGCTATCACTACTCTCTCTGATAAAGAATCCCTCCCCATCTTCCCTTCAGGCCCACTTTAAGTATTGGCAGGCCACTATAAGGTCCCCCCGGAGCGTTCTCTTCTCCAGGCTGAACCACCCCAACTCTCTCAGCCTGTCCTCATAGGGGAGGTGCATCAGCCCCCTGATCATGTCCCTCCTCTGAACCCAGTTGAGCAGGTCCATGTCCTTCTTATGTTTGGGGCCCCAGAGCAGGGCACAGCACTGCAGGTGGGTTCTCATAAGAGTGGAGTAGAGGGGGACAATCATCTCCCTCGACCTGCTAGCCACACATGTCTTGATGCAGCTCAGCATTTAACCTTATCCAGTATATGTTATTTTGCTAAAAATGGGAGATAACTATTTCAAATAAAACTTAAATATCTGCCAAACCCCACCTTCCCTAACTATCAATAAATGACATTTCAGAATGATGTGCCACAATGTACTTAGCATGTTACATATACTGGGGGAATCAGAAGAATAGAAATACCTTTACCCTCCTGTCCTTGGTTTACATCTTGTATTTTCACCCACTAAAAACAAACTAGAGTGTGTGGCAGTCCTTTTTGCAGTTTGTTTAATTTGTCTGGAAACTCCAACAGCACTGAAACAGGTAATACACTGTCACTTGCTATGAACTAGTTCATGCAGGCAGATTCTCTGTTTCTTTCAGTTTTGTGATGTTGCTTCCTCCTAGATGTTGTGTTTTCTGATCCATCCAACACAACTTTCATGTCTGTTTGCTCTCTTTTTCCAGCTTCTGGACATCCTCACTGCTTCTTCTGTCACCTAGAGCTTGGTTCTGACCGGGAAGTGCCTTCCAGTTTTGTCCGCTATGTAGATGTGGAATTTGACATGCCTACCACTTCTGCATCCAAAGCCACTGTTCGGTCCATCTCTGTTGAGGACAAGACCGATGTGAGGAAGTGGGTTAACTATTCAGCACACTACAGTTACAAGGTAAAACTGAGCATGTGGCTGTCATGGTTACTTTGCATACTTCCTTGTCCTGAAAAGTGTGGGCAAACAAATAAAATATCATGGGCAGATGAGGTGGGAATTTGGCACATGCCAGGCACTGTGCAGTAGCTACCCATGTGCAGCCTGTTGATTCATGGCAAACAAACAGTGCATTATCCCTCAGCAAAGATGGAATGAACTTGCTTGCAGTTGCTTTGTGGAAGAGCATACATCCAGCCAGCTATTGGGGATCAGCTGGTATGGTAAGAGTGTGAACAGGGAGTTCTTCATTGTGGCTACAGTGGGAGTGCTACAGCAGACAAAAGGATCACATTATTTCCCTGCCTAAATATTTCTTCTTCCTGCCTGCCGTAAGAAGAGGAGCAGATGGGAAAATGCACTGTGTATATACCTGCCAAGAATCTCAGTATGCCAAAATTTGCATGTTAGCTGATCGCTCAGCAGAGAAATTGGCATCCTACCTGCCTTCTTTAAGAGCAAGGATGAGAGATACTGAGAAGATTCTCATGACAAATATTTTTACTGGTAATTGTAATGACATTTTTAGTAGTCTCTTAAATACCCTGGAGATAGTATTTGATCTTCCTAAGTATCCCTTTCAAGAATTGAACATTGGATTATCCCTGACTTTTTGGACATGTTGAATTTTAGAACATAAATGTAGATGTGCATTTTGAAAATTAATCTTTTTGCTTTATACATCAGTCTTTAGAGGGTTTAATGTTGAGGCTGGTCTGCTGCTGTCACTTAAGAAGCCACCTATCCTCTGCACATTTGGTTCTAGGTTTGGATTCAAAGTATAGCCGGGGTTGATAATGAGTGTAAAATCATGTGAGACCGGTTCTCTGCATGACATTATCTCTTCTGGAAATGATGTCATTACACTGTTGAATTGTAAAACTCTTTGGATTAGACTGAAAACCCTTAGAGTAGATAAAATCCAGCTTTCCCTCCCTCCCTGTGTCCTCTTCACAATTCTCTGTTTACCAAGTTTCTTCACCTGAGCAGGACATGAACCACCACTAAGGAAGATTGTTGAATCATTTGCTTTCCTTTCTTGCTACAAATGTTCTTCCTCTTTTTCCTCTCTCAGGTTGAAATAGAGCAGAAAAAAAGCTTGAATGAGGATCTGAAGGGAGAAGATACTGCAAATGTCAATGAATGTGCTATGCAGTGAAAGAAGATCAGTCTGCAAGTCCCAAGAGGGGTGGTCAAATTAACAGACCTGAAAGACGGGACTTTCAGGGTCTTGGTATTTTTCTTTAAAAAAGTATGGAGTACTACATTTAAAATAATGCTCTAAAGAGTATTATTTTTCCTTGTAATGATCCATGCTTTGAGAAGAAGCTTGTCAGTGGTTTGCTTGGAGCAGACCCCTGGGCTCTTGCTTGAACGATTTAAGTACAGTTGGGATATAGACAGAATGACTCGTATTACAGTCAAGACTGCCTCTTCCGCCTCTTCACCATCTAGGTTCTGCACTGAAGTATGGTCTGGCCACCATCACAGCCAAACCAGAAAGCAGCCTTTATCTCACTTACAATCTTGCCCTCCTACATTAAGCATTTTTATTGTATGCCTGTTGGTTTGGTCACTGGCAGATTAATTTCCTTCTGAATTGCCAAATGAAACCCAGGGAGCATTGAGTGAAAAATTATATAAAATCTCATTTCTGAAGTGGTCAACAGAGTGAAAACCCTGAGCAGCATTCTGGAGAATCAACACTCTGCATCCTAAACATAGTAAATGGCCAAGCAGATGAACTACAGACAGGACAGCTAATCATCTAGCTGTTCTTCTATTCACCCCTTCCTGTCTCATCCCCTGAAGGACAGCATGTCATTGTGCACATTTTCATGGGGTATGCACAACATACAAGAAAGCCGCTATAGTTTCTTAAAATTTTTTATTTGTTAGTCTGAGCTTTTCTGTTCTCTTGACTGAACATGATTATGGCTGCTAGTAACAGGGAATGTGTGTTATAATAGAAGTGATACAGGAGGGACTTTGCTAAGATTAGATCATTCCTATCTAGAAAGATACTTAAGGGAAAAACATAGGGGGTTGGCTTTGGGTTGGTTTTGTTTAAGATGTTTTCTTAGATGGGTAAGGTGGGTGGTTATTGAAAATGTCAGAACACGATTACTTTAATAGACAGCGTTGTTTGCCTTCCTGAAAATCCTTGGAAGTCTGTCCAGCGCACTATTACTTTCATGTTCTATCCTGAACCTATAATATAAGTAACTGGTACCTTTATAAAACCCCCACTAACTGGGACCCAAAATGTGTTTTTAAAAATTAAAACCAAGCTTCCATCATGGAGATTTTTTTATCTCTATTTAGATGAAAGTAACAGCAAGTCTTAAAGCTTCTTTCTACATAAAAATGCAGAAGGCAAAAATCACTCATTCACACATATTTTCAGAGAAAACAGTGTTCAAAGTACCCATTTTTGTAGTTGTTTCCATGGCGTGTGTAATATTTTATCTCAAGGTAATTTTAAATGTAAAACCAGTAATTTATTAAATCATTTATCTTTTGAAAGGATACTGCTGACTTTAAAATCACACATTTGGAAAGCCTTGGCAATGTAATTTAAAACCATAATTAAAATGAAAGCTTTTTTATAAATTTATAGATTTATTTTATTTTACATTTCATATAACAGAAAATTAATACACTATTTACTATTTCCTCTGTGACTCCTATAAACATCACTACACTGTTAAAATCCCAAATAAAACATGGGATTAATTACACCGAGTCTGAAACTCGTAGTGGTAGAATTTAAAACAAATTATAGGGAACTTATAAATGCCTTTTTATATGCACCTAAATTTTAGGTCTATGTCAATTTAGTGCTATCCATTTACACAGGTACACCGCTGTAAACACGTAACGTCTCAGTCCTTCTAGGGCTGCGTAATGACCGTGTAATACTCTATTGCACCGCGTCCTGCTGAAGCCCAGTTTGCTCCTCAGAGCACACCAGTCAGTACTAAGCATTTGCACCATCTCTCTGTAAATGGAATAATGCTAATAACTTTTATGAAGCATTTTGAGATCAGCGGGTTAAAATTACCAATAAAGTGCAAAGAATTATTATTCATTAAATGATAATTTGTGTAAATTGTGAAATATCTGGGAGCACAGGGCTGGATTCGTGACTGATTCTCAGCTCTGTTACAGGCTGGCTGTGATGAGGTACATGGCAACTCCTCTCTACAAAATTCACTCTTTTCAAAGAACTTTTGGGTGTTTTTCTTGTTTGTCACTGCAGCTCCTAGTGTACAGTTTCTGCAAAGGACCATCAAGAATCCAGCAAAACCAAGCTGAAGTTGAGATATTGCTGAGGAAGTGTGAGAATGTTTTGTGAAAGAGACAGTTGGGAGATCTCCTACTCTGATCTGCAGGTTCAGTGTCTGAATTTTTGTCTATTGACCCCCAGCCCTTGAAAACACAAATAAGTAATATCAAATAAACAAAATTATGTTTATGTTAAAGAGGGGAGAAAATCAAAGGAATATCATTTTCCATCTGTGTTGAATTCTTAAACTATTCAGTCTCTACCATACTCTAGCCACATAATATTTCATCCCCCCAAAACTGAAAGATGAACATACTGGAGGTTTCTGGATTTACTTAATTTCTCTACCTCTTCATTACGGATTCTTTTTTTTTAATTCAAAGTTAATGAATGAAATAAAGAGTATGGGCCTGCCTCCGATCTCTCTTATGTAGTGAGTTGCACAACAGAAGTAACTCCTCCAGCCCTCATGGAGCTATGCAGGCAAAACTGGAAAAGTGTTCTGCTGTATTAAAAAGCTATTTGAATCCATTCTGATCTCTGGAGAACATTTTTCTGATGTACCTGCCACTGAATTTTCAAGAGTTTAGGATGAATACCTCGGCCAGAGTTTCAAAAGATCTTCTTTCCTATTGAAGCACTAGAGTAGGTAGTTTGATTTTGCAAAAGAGCACTAACAACCAAAATCTTTAGAAAATGTAGTGTTGGTATCACCAGGTGTCACCACTGAATTCTTTTTTCAGTGCAGCACCATTACGAGCCCTGAGCATTTGAACACTTGGATCCTAAGTGCACTTTTTGAGGCTTCCACTGTTCTTGCTTGATTAAACAGTGCCAATTTTTCAGTGTTGGATACTGTCACTTATGAACTTTATGTACATGAACTATATACTCTTCATCCATAGGGGTACACTAGTACTTTGGACAGACTGTTGATGGGAGTGAGGTGAAAAGAGCTGAGGTGTGTGTCAGTTTTAGAATAGCAGAAATTATTTAGATACAAGCTATGCCTGTAGTGGGAATGGATTTTTTTATTTTTATTTTTTTTACCCTGGGGAAAAATTTCTTTGAATAGTTTCGGTTTAATACTCCTTTTGAGAAAGACATAATCACTGTTCTTTTGTTTATTTGAAAGCTTTGTAGTACTCCAACACTCCGTGCAGGAAATAGTGCCTTCAAGGTAAGCGTACATTTACTCCCTGAAGCTATTTCCACTTTCAGCCTTCCTTCTATTTCTCATTATGGTTTTGATTCATTTTTGTATTGTGGTACTACTTGAGGTATTGCAGGGAATTTTGCCTAGAAAAATAAATAGTCTTTGATCACAAGAGGTGAAGATGAACAACATCTCTGGGCAGCTGAGCTTCTTCTAGTAAATGCCTCTCACATTTATTAACTGTGGACATTTTGCTAGCAAAGGAAAATGGATGGGTAAATTCCACTGAGAAATAGGATACCTGACTGATGTTATTTTTGTCCTTTATTTTATTTAGACTCAAATTTAGTCATCCTACGAAGGAGACAGATTTTAGGTTCTTCGTTGTATCAGTATCAAAAGAAACATTGCAGAAATAATTTACCATTTCTGGTGGGTGGCTGGCTGGCATATTTACTTGACAGGACATCCAAGACCTGTTGGTCTACCTGTCCACATGACTTAGTAGCTGCTAAAATTCCCCCTTGATCATTCACCTCCCAGGATGGAGAGCAACTGCATGCAAAAGAGCTTGAAAGCAAGAGGAAAGCATGTACAAAATTCAGCCTAGAGGTACTTACTCTGTTGCTTGCATTAAATTCTCAGTAATTTCCTTGGCCCTTGAGTGCACACAAACTAATCAAGCCCCTGTTCCAGAGGGTGAAAAATTATTTTCAGTGACTCTAGCAGCTCATGTTTATAGCTGTATTCATCTCCAGAACTGGCCAGCACAAGAATTTGCAGCACACAGAGATCACTTATGGATGAATTACTTGCCCTCTTCTGCCACTAAAATTAAATCTACATCATGAATTGACTGAGATACAAAATTTTGTGTGATAACAGGCATAGCTGTTCCTAGCCTTCCTGTTTTGTTCAGCCACCCACCCACTCACACATGCATCCATCCACCCTCACATCCGTCCTACCTTCCCTCCCTCTCCTATACTTGCAATTCATTCTTTGCACTATTGACATTGATTGGTTTGATGATTATGTTGTAACATGTTCCTACCTTTTTGTTTTGTAAAATAAGAAAGTCTATACACTGGCTAACTTTGTAGAGGTGGTTTATTTTTTTTCTTTTTATCTTATCTGTTGAAGTGGGATGTCATGTTTTGCTTAAACGACGGGAAAACTTAAATAAATGTTAAGATGAAACATCATATCCACATTTTCACTGTGAAATTGAAGTTGTATGTCTGTATATTCTGATAAGTCAGAAGTCTTGAATTCAGAAGAGGAAAAGGGAATGTTTTGAATGGCATAAAGAAGGACATAAACTAAAAGTAATGGGACTGTATACAGAAAGGAGATTATTTCATTTGATCATCCAGACTGAACGATAGACTGCAAAGGAAATGGAGCAGGCCTAGAGCTTGAGCCACATAACAGACATGTGGAGCAGTGCTAACATAGTTCCAACATTTGAATGAAGCCATCCTGAAACAAATTAATCGAAAATTTAAGCTTCGGCTTGGTGGGTCTCTTCTGTTCTCTGACTACTAAAGCCAGGAGTACATGCGAGGGCAGTGTCTTCCTGTGATCAGAACATCTGTTTGCAAAGCAAGTGTAAGGATAAGGTCTAAACTGTTTAGTCCTCTGCTATGATTCTCTGTGTTCCTTCAGACTTCAGTAAGCTACGGATCGTTTCAAACATCTTTCCACTTCTCCTACAGCCACTGAAACCGGTTGCAGTCTTCTCTTTTTCTCAAAAGCACTCTGAATCAGACTGAAGAGCTGGGCAGTCTCGTTGACCAAAGAAAATCAGATACCCATCATAAGGGCTGCTCAGATTATTGCTCTGAGCTCGGCACATTCTCCACAGTATGTCTCAGTACAACTGACAATAAATCAATCATCTTACAGTGTAAGAAAATGGATGTACACGTGGAACAATGCCTTATGTTCATTATTCAAGAGTCAATCAGGTCAGCCAGAAAAAAGAAGGAAAGTTAAATAGAAAGATTCAGGGGTTGTTAGTAATAGCAGTTTATTTACTGTAATTGAGATATTCAGTGACATTTGGAAACGATACTACCAAATTGGGAGGGTAGGATTATATTAACCATGATGGCTTGATAATACGCAAAATAGTTTTAAAAAGAGAGTTATAGAAAAAGCTGAAAATTTGAAACCAGAGAGCTCAAAGTACCTTGGCAATAGTCCTTCAAGACAAGTCAAAATAACACCTTACAAGAGATGGAGAAGTCAGCATGCCAGCGCAATGTGTACCCAAACAAAAGACATCACTAGACTGAGATAGCACAATTTGGAGAGGAGAAACCAGCAGCATTTTCTTTCAATGCTCTTAGTTGCCATGATTGCCCTTACCACCTAATCCAGGTATGTTATAAATTTATGAGGAGGAGAAAAGCTTCTGAAGGTCAGCTGACATAAAGCAGAAGACAGAGAAGCAGCCCATTGTTTCAGCTGAGGTGCAGGTCTGTGTCACAGCAGATGTGTCTGAAAACATGAAACACACCAGCCCCAGAAAAAGTCCCAGTCCTTTTGGTCACAGTATTAGAAGCCTGACAGCAACTGCCATGTATTAAAAAGTAGTTGGAATTGTATTTTAAACACCAACTATTAAAGGTATCTTTCTCGATGCTGGATAATGGGGCAGCAAAGCCTGATGGAGAAGAGTGACGACACCACTGCCTGCAGCTGCACTGGGGTGCTACAAGTGGCAGCCACATGCTGGGGTTCAGGGAATGTGGGCAGACTGGTCCCTCCCTGATCGGGTGCCTTCTGCAGCCTCCCAGTTGCTGCTGACCCAGGGGCCGTAGATAAACTGGGAGCAATCAGCCTGGCCGAAAGAGCTTCTGAAGGAAAAGGATGAATACAGGGTGAATACAGCTAAAAGTAATTTCTTAAGGTGAGAGCCTCTTTTGTAAAGGTTTCCTTATGCAGAACAGAAAAGAAGAGCTCTACTCCTCTGTGTGGAAGCACATAAGTTTGTTAGGGGATGGTCAATTCAGCGATTGTATTAATACAGAGAGTACTCAGGCTAAAATGGAATGAAATGGGAAAACGTCCTGTCAGTGTACAGACGCAGGCAGGACTGTAGTGGAGTTCTGGCTTCTGGTATGAGAAACAAAAGCAAAATTGCAGGCAGTTTTCAGCTAAGAGAGTTCAACCACTACAGCATCCTCTGTCCCCACATCCCTTTGATGAAAATCTTGCTTAAATTATACTGTATCGGTCAGTAGGATTTTTTTTTTTTTCCAAACTGTTCTAAGTACCATTTGCCCAGGGTGAAGAAATGTCCCTGGCAGTCAGAAAGTGACAGTTGGTGCGAGAGGAACAACCAGGGGAGTGCGGGTGGCAAAACAGGATACACTGAAGTTACAATCTCAGCACAGAAAAATGTGTGCTAATACCTCATGAAGTCCTATGACCCTGGGAACAAAGGAAAAAATAGTAAAAAAAAATAATATGACCATTATAAAAGATTGGCAGGTTTGTGAACGAATAGAATTGGATTTGGAACTGAACCATATTGTCAAATCAGCTCTCAACTGTAGGGGGCCAGAGGACCTAAGGGACACAGGATAATGAAAGTGTGAGTTGACTGTGGCATTTCTGCTGGGTAAATCGGGGTTCGTGGCAGGGGGCCTACCTGGAGAAGTGACCTACAGATTAGAATGATAAAGTGTTTAGCTGTGTGTTGACATGCCCTAGGTTCGCAGGAGCTAAGGGATTATCGCTATCTAGCGGTCACTGCAAGCTGCCAGGTTTTTGCCTGGACTACTGACCTGCTGCATCAGGCAGACTCGACGGAACACCAGTCTCATTGGTTTTTCAGGACTGTGAACCCCATGCAGAATCTGTCCTGTTGTTGACACGCTGAAAACCAGTTAGATCTCAAAACTGGGTGTAGGAGTTGCCCACCTCCATTGATTCTGTGTTTAGCTGAGAAAAAGCCAACAGGTTAATTTTTCAGTGGTGCTGACTGCTCTTTTCACCCAAGTAGTCCTTACCTGCCTGCCTAGTCATGCACAGAATCAGTTTAAACTTACGTCCATCAGGTACTTTAAATACCTCCAACAGAAAATGCTGTAAAAGGATAATTTTTGACTACTGTCTATTAAAAAGCAAAAGCATCCATGCGTGTTGTGTAAGCATGCATAGGCCTATACACTTAAGCACTGTTTGATAGAAAGAACAGTAGTTTCACCTTTTTATTTTCTGTCTACTCTTTACAAGACAGACACCCCTCGCTGCCCCCAGGTACACCAGTGGGGCTAGGTTCTAGTCTGGGCAGCCAAGCCCACTGCTCCCATCTGGTAAACCCCCATGCAGCTTCTGCCTCATTCTGGAAGTACCAAAATTCCCAGGAGCTCTCATAAATTTGCATGAAAGATGCCTACATCCACCTAATGTTCCCGTGCGTGCCACGAACTACCACAGTCCTAGACGGTTTTCAAGCCAAGCGTTCTGCCGCCTTCCCTCTCTGGAGGACTCCGATCTGCTGCTGTGCTCAGCATGAGCTTTGCTATGAACCTGCTCAGTGGTCAGAGCACCGCACCTCAGGTAAGCAAATGGGTTTTGGCTTCCTTTCTCCTCATTGAGGCTACCTCGAGTGCCGGGACAGAGGTGGAGACAGTTCAAGACTGAAAAAAGAGAGACTGAAGACTTGAAGGGTTTAGAGGACTAACAAGGTTTGCCAATCCTTGATGCAGTTTCTGAAACGCTATTGAGTAAATAATGGAAATAGTCCTCGGAGCAGGACCTTGACACCAGACCTGCCCTCTCCCTCCAGACAAATACCTTTCTCTGCTGAGCTCATGGAACCTAGAAGGCCTGCTGCCCAGTGAAAGACCTTTATAGGATAAGTAATAGCACCATTTGAGGATAGTGCCTTATCTGTTTGCTGAGGTGCTATGAAAACAGAAGTGTTTAAATACATCCTCGTGCTGTATTTCCTAAGAAGTAATTTGTTATAAGAAGTCTCCTTCCTGAAACAAAATTATCCTTCTGTATTGGCACCTGGCAAAAATACAACTAGATGCCTTTGAAATAAATCCCTTAGAGCATGGGGACAGTTTTCTTTCCCAGCACCCACAAAAAGCACACGAAAATCAGTTTCAGTTTGTCCTGAAGTAATTTCTTTCCTAATGTTTGGATTTAAGAAAAAGGTGCACTAGTTACTGACTTTCATCTTATGTTAATCATTTACATTTTCTATGCATTATGAACCTACTTTTATAGAAGTTACAGCCAACAGTCATTGCTCTCAGTGAGAGAGCTACTGGACAATTTTAGCACAATGAGATACATTTTGAAAACTTATTTCTCTGATTTGTTTTCTGCTGGGGTTACTGGCATAGGAGTTCTGCTTCCCTCTTGTGGCCACATCTTTTACTTCTGACTTGGAAAATAAACATTTACAGTGCAGCCACAGTTAGAGTTCATGATAGCTACCTTCCTGGCAGAAGCCTCCTCCTCAAATTTGCTGGAAAAGCCCCATTCTGTTGGGAATCTCCCATACAAAAATTCTCTACCTAAGGGAGAGATTCTTTTTCACGTTCATATGGGAACAAATGAACATGTTTGATAAAATGAGTAGTAATTCATGCTGGATACATTTTGTAATTGATCCTGAATGTTCAGATTTGAGTCAGCCAAATGTACGAGCTCCACCTAGAAGTTTTTAAGGTACAATCCAGGTGATGTGATATTTTCAAGTAGTGCTGTAAGGTCTAGGCAATTAACTTCAGAGTCAACTGCTCTGATGTCACAAACATGCAAACACTCACAGCCATTTTAGGATATCACTTTGTCCTTTCCTATCACCTCACATTTGAAAATCACATAGTCCTTTTCAAACATTAAGAAATTAAGCTATCTGAAGAGCTAACTGAAATAAAAGACTGTACCTCTCAGAGTATAAGAAAGCTAAAATAAGATTAAATCGCTGCCTTGAAATGATAGAGCTCCAGTAGAATGCAGATCTAATGTCCCTCCATTGTTTCTCTAACCCAGAAGAACAAATTCTCCCTTCAAGGTCCTGATCAGACTTACAGCATTTGTAGCATGATTTACCTTGAATGTCGCTGCTCTGTGCCCTTGTATTCTTCATTCCTTAACAATTTACACTGATAGCAATATAGTACATTGCCTGCTGCAACATTCAGAAGACATGTGAATTGTGTCTTGAAAGCCATAGCT